GCTTGACATATTCAAAACAATTAAGACAGCAAGGATAGGAAAGGGAGAAACTGAAACAATGAACCCAACTGTATTTCAAATGAATACTATAATTAAAATGGAGAGCAAAAAATAACTAATTTGAGTAACTTACAACAGTTTTGACTGCACATCCTACAGCCCTCAGTCTTGGACAGGGTAGGGAAATGGAAAAACTGGAAACTAGAGATCCTGAACTCTTTTGAGTAGCTTTGCATTTTTGTAGATATGGGTGAAGTCATTCTGAAACTACTTTAGATATATTATGAGATTGAGCAAATGAGTAAATCTATTGATTTTAGAAGCCAAGACTCTCACTGTGAAAGAAGGTACATGCAAATATGAAATGGGGGAAGGTAAAAAAGATGAATTGAAATTGGAAGTATTGGTGCTCCCTTATGATATCTAAATATGCACATGTATGTGTATAAACATGTATATGTGCATATCGTGTATGTATGTGCATTTACATGTATGTAAGTATATGTATATGCATGCATATATCTCCTGGCTCCGTTCACTTAAAAAGGTATAGAAGCAGAGATATTCCAGGAGCAAATAGCACAGCTAGTGCATGGATTTTTATCTCTAACACTATTCCCCACCAAAAGGAACAAGGGGTTCCTGGAGAAGTGACTGAAAGCAGGGCTGGGGAAGCGTGATAAACCTAGAACATTTTGTTATACCAGAGGTAAGGATATGCTCCAAAGAATAATGGACATATGGCACAGGCACACCTAGTCAGCTTGAAAGGATCCAACTGGCCAAATCTGGGATAATCCACCACCAAGCTAAATAAGGATAATAATTATACACCACTTGGGGGAAAGTGGGGTAGAAAACAGAAATCCATGAGTTCATACAGATAATACACACTGCTATGGTGTGAATATATGTATCGCCCCAAAATTTGTGTGTTGAAACCTAACCACTAGAGTAATGGTATTAAGAGGTGGGATCTTTGGGAAGTGATTAGGAATTAATATCCTTATAAAAGGGGCCTGAGGGAGTTCGTTCACTCTTTCCACCACGTGAGGATAGAGAGAAAGCACCATGTATAAGGAAAGAGCCCTTACAAGACACTAAATCTGCTGGTGCCTTGACCTTTAACTTCCCAGCCTCCAGAACTGTGAGTAATAAATTTCTACTATATATAGACTACCCAGTCTAAGATATTTCGTTACAGCAGCTGGGACAGACTAAGACACATTCATCCATACATGAGGAAAAGACACGGTCCTTGGTTAAACTAGAAAGTCACATGCTGACTGGTAAACATGGAGGGAGTGCTGAAGTGATCCTCATCATTTTGTTACCATCATAGCAAAGACTGGTTCAGGTAAGAATCCCAATAGATGCTAAATCTGAGGGGAAATTGTAATGAGGAGCAGGATATTTGCATGGTCTTAAAGTGTCTCTCCTCAAACTCATTATTTGCAAGGGAGAAAATGGTAACTATTTACTGTTGGAGAAATAGGACAACACTCCTACTGTGTGAGGAAAACTAGCGTCATCAGGGAGGGGCAGACAGACATTGTGTGCCTCCAGATATGGCTGCCTGAGAAGCACACAGTGTCACATATGCAATATCCTGGTCAGGAATGTAGAACCTGAATCTAATGATGAGGAAACATCAGACAAATTCAGAATACAGAAACTCCTGTATATAGAAAGTAGGGGGACTCTGTCTTCAAATCTGTCACTGTCACAAAAGGAAAAAAAAAAATTTAAAAAGGTTGTGGCAATGTTTCAAAGATTAAAGAAACATGACAACTAAGTGCAGTATCTGTCCCGAGACTGGATCTAGTACTGGAGGAAAAGGAAGCCATAACAAACATTGAGCCAATGAGACAATTGAAATACAAATTAAACTATTAATGTTATATTTACCGAAATTGAGGACTTCCCTGTGGTTATTTATGAGAATATACTTATATATAAAAAATAATATTTAGGGATAAAAGACCATGCTATGTAAAACTTATTCTCAAATTCTTTAGTAAAAACAAAATATTTTATGGTATATACACAATATTATACATG